TTGTACACACGACGTCAAAGTTGACCATAAAAGCCCGTTTTTGAACATGACGTCGTTGCGTATCATTGGCAACTGTTACGGGTATTTCAACGCCATTGGCGGACAAAATATCTTAAATCCTACAGCATTCGACGGACATTATTTTTTCCTTTAAGCTGATATAAAATTTATTGTTTTACACCGAAAATTGTTTAGTAATGGAAAGAAAATTGTCAATTTTGTGTAAAATTTAACGTTCAGTTTAGCCGCATTTTTTGGCTTAAAATCGGCTTTTTAAAAAAACTCCTGAAATAAATTTTTGATTTTCTTCTTTAAACGTCCTTTTAAATGTATACTTAATCAAAATTATTAAAAGTATCAGGGGGTCACCGACCTAATTTTTTCGGTACACGTGCTTTTATTTCCCCCACCCCTTTGGATAAAAGTCACGCTATCATGGGGCGTTTGGTTTTTTGGTGTTTTTTAAACGATCGCCCTGTGTCAAAATCCCGCTTTTTACGGCATTTTATGCTATTATGACCACTGCGGAAAATATATGGATACAATAAAGAGTACGGAATTCCGTATATTATAGATAGATTGGTATAAATAAGTGAAATTTGATGTACGGAACTGTATATCATACAATACGTATTTAACTAATATACCGTGATCCGTACACTCGTAATATGCGGGAACTTTGAATACTAAAATGCGTATTTTTTAATTACACGGTCAGATAATACCAAACTATGAATTTGTTATTCTTGTAAATACAGATTTTGTATATAAAACAGAGAATAAAGATGTACTTCAGAATTACCCACTTTCTACAAGAGGAAAAAAATAATAGTCTGATCTGACATTTGTCAGAATAACATTAAATAGTAAAACTTTGAGTAAAATGTTATATTTCTCGGTTTTATTAACATGTCAGTTGCATACTGATTAAATGGTTAGTGAAACATCGACAGATCCTCTACAGTGCCCGTAGCATGTGCAGACAAAAAAAATGGCAATATATATTGAAATATCTTTATTTTGTATAAAGATTTATAATCCAACACCCACTGAGCTAACGTTTTAAGCATGACTGTTGCTTCACCCTAATATAATTGACTAAATTTCATTTATGAACCGTATATTTTAATTTGTCAATATTTCGCCAATTCTGTCAAATTGTTACAATAGTTTTTGATTACAATCTGGTTTTTAATAGGTGAAATAAAATAATTATCACTCACAGTATATCACTCATAGTGTGGGTAATGCAAAATGTATAGATTTGCAGAATTTCTTGTAGACTACGTATTAATTTATGATTGAATTTCCGTAAATTTCTAAATTTACATGAAAATATATAGTTGCTTTTGTTCCTTATGACATATTTCTCTATTCAAGTTTATTAATCTTATTGTTTTACAATATCTAAAAGAAACACCGCAATGATAACTCTCATGTTTGCGCAGCGTACACGTTGTCGTTGAACGCCCGACGTCATTTTCTTTATATGCGTCTGTTTACAATGCCTTATGAAGTTATTAATCATGCTGAAAAAACAAGAAAAAAATCGTTTGTTTTTCGTACAATTTTAAGAATTTGCAATGGAACATTGTTGTTGTTGTTTTATATGTATAAGTAAAACTCTAGAACAATTCTCCTGATAAGCTGAACATTATGGCCGCACTTTAAAGTCTCAGATGTATCTGCATACGTGGAATTTCGTTACAAAATTACTCACGGGGTGGGGGAAATAAAATCACGTGTACCGAAAAAATTGAGTCGGTGACCCCCTAATTTTTTTAGTTATTTTGACTAAGTATACATTTTAAAGGACGTTTAAAGAAAAAAATCAAAAAATTATTTCAGGAATTTTTTAATAAGCCTCTTTAAAGCCGAAAATTGCGGCTAAACTGAAACGTCAAAATTTTACACAAATTGACAATTTTCTTTCCATTTCTCAAAATTTTCGGCGTAAAAAAATAAATTTTATATCTGCTTAAGGAAAAAATAATTTTTCCGTCGAATGCTTAGGAATTTTAAGATATTTTGTCCGCCAATGGCATTGAAATACCCGTAACAGCTGCCAAGGATACGCAACGACGTCATGTTCAAAAACGGGCTTTTATGGTCAACTTTGACGTCGTGTGTACAAAAATTGGCTGAAACTATTGAAATAAAATCAACGAAATCCAATGAGAAATATGGTCAATTTTTTGCATGCCAATTTTCAAGACGCTACTCGAAAGTTCGCAAAGTGTCGCGTTCTACCTTAAATGATTTTACTATTATATTAGATTCTAAATAAACTAGAACTGTGTCCAAAGGACAACATATATATGGTATATAGTGAAAAAATTAACAAAGGGCCATAATTCTGTTAAATTTGGTCGCAGCGAAATTCCTTCCTTTACTACCACCTACACATTTAGGTTGTTCATCCCTGGAAGTTTAAGCAAAATCTGCCATCCTGTTTAAGAGGAGTTGCGTTCACAAAATTTCTATATGGTATATAGTGAAAAAATCAACAAAGGGCCATAATTCTGTTAAATTTGGCTGCAGCAAAAATTCCTTCCTTTACTACCATCTACACATTAAGGTTGTTCATCCCTAAAAGTTTAAGCAAAATCTGCCATCTGGTTTAAGAGGAGTTGCGTTCACAAAATTTCTACATAGTATATAGTGAAAAAATCAACAAAGGGCCATAATTCTGTTAAATTTGGTCGCAGCAAAAATTCCTTCCTTTACTGCCATCTACACATTAAGGTTGTTCATCCCTGGAAGTTAAAGCATAATCTGCCATCCGGTTTAAGAAGAGTTGCGTTCACAAAATTTCTACAAAGTATATAGTGAAAAAAATCAACAAAGGGCCATAACTCTGTTAAATTTGGTCGCAGCAAAAATTCCTTCCTTTCTTAACATCTACACATTAAGGTTGTTTATCCCTAGAAGTTTAAGCAAAATCTGCCATCCGGTTTAAGAGGAGTCGCGTTCACAAAATTTCTACAAAGTATATAGTGAAAAAAATCAACAAAGGGCCATAACTCTGTTAAATTTGGTCGCAGCAAAAATTCCTTCCTTTCCTAACATCTACACATTTAGGTTGTTCATCCCTGGAAGTTTAAGCAAAATCTGCCATCCGGTTTAAGAGGAGTTGCGTTCACAAGATTTCGGGACGTACGGACAGACGTACGGACGGACGGATGGACGGACACTTTGTGGGGGCATAAAAATGGAATATTCAAATTTAATGGGACAGACTAAAGCTGGGACTTTGTCCCAACTAAAAACCGGTGTTAATCTGCCAAGAAGCACTGGTTAGGGACTACTTGTATATGCGGCTCTTCTGATTTCTCACTCGATTATTAGTTTACAAAGCCTTTAAAGCATCGATAAAAAAATTGTAGTAATTATTTTTTACATGCAATACTAAAATAATATCTCACATACACTAACGCCACATATTTGATCCATATCAATTAATAAATATTTTGACAAACGGCGCCAATCCGTAAGCAGCGTAATGACGTCATCCTATGTAAACAACACATTCATGAACGGGCTAGAATAACGTTATTTCAAACAGGAATGCTTAATTTAACACTGTTTTAACACAATTCAATCTAGTCTGCGACGTAAGTTTATATTTTTGAAAACTTGATAAAATACCTTTTTTTTTCTTATTATTTATTTTTTTAAATAGTTTCTATATCTTAAAAACAATAGGGTGCAAAATCGAACAGCGTTATGCAAAAATTGGCACCGGAGGTAATCTCCGCTTGAAAAAAAAAACAAACAAACAGAGTAGATCACTTATTGTATCTTGTAAGAATCGAAATAACACCGATCTTAGCGGTGTTTATCGGCTATTTAACACCAGTTTTGATGGGTAGGAAATTACCACGAAGACCGTAGACCTGAGTGGTTAATTTTCTCGCATCAAAACGATGAGTTAGTTAGATTTAGCCATGCAATAGAGAAAAACAGAGTTAGAAACAGCAAGCGTGTTGCAAGTTTGATTGGAAGAAGGTGTTCAGTGTATTTAGGTGCTAGGGGGCGTGAGAGATGTTGCACATATTCATTATCCCTTATGTACTGACTCAATCAAACCTAGGCTGCAATTTCATAGACATAATACCTTATGATTTAAACTCATGTCATATAACATAATGATTGTGAGCAGAACAATATCTGACACGAACAATAATGGCTTTCAAAATTGTGAGCAGAACAATATCTGACACGAACAATAATGGCTTTCAAAATTGTGAGCAGAACAATATCTGACACGAACAATAATGGCTTTCAAAATTGTAAAAATGAATCCCAAAAATATATTTGGGTCTTATACAAACAGCTTATTTCATAGACATAGCCAACACTATTAAGTGTTGAGAATTATGTACCGCTCAAGCCGGTGCTAGGGGTCGTGAGGGATGTTGCACGTATTCATTATCCCTCATGTACAGACTCAATCAAACCGAGTCTGCCATTCTCTTGTAATTGTGTTGTGATTAATGCTTCCGGGGGATCATTTCATTTCCATTTTTTTATACTTCACAACTGCAGGTGTCAAGTGCTGAGTGGCCGCTGTAAAAAGTTGTCCCGTACTTCACTTCAGTGTTGTTACATTTTTCTGGCCCTTCGGGATCATTGATGCCAGTACTAGTAAGTGTTGAATCAAGCTGGTGCTAGGGGGCGTGAGGGGCGTTGCACGTATTCATTATCCCTCGTGTACAGAATCAATCAAACCGAGTCTGTAATTCTTTGTAATTTTTTGTGATTAATGCTTCCGAGTTATCACTTCGTTTCCAGATTTGTCTACCATCTACGTCATCTAAGCCCCATCCACACCCTTTAATCAAAAGGGTATTTAGCTTTTCTTGATGTTGATGTTCTCATGAAGCACAATTCACAGTTAGTATAATCAAATTAAGAATGTATAGTTTTCTTTAAATGTCCATCAACCGAATGCCCTTTCTGTTTGAATGAACTTTAAAAAGCAAAGGCGTCACAATGTATTTTCATTCAGAAACTCGTTTATTTTCACCTTTAATTGCAAATTTACAACAGAAATAATATGTTTTCTATAGTCTCTTTTCAACTATTATTTCCTTTTTTCATTTTATTAGCACAACGTTACTGTCAATACGTTTGACAATTTTAACCCTGTTTTTTTCATTTATGATTTAAAACAAAAAGAGATTCACAAATCACAATGATAATTAAAGTGTATAAAGCAATGTTTAGATCTGCTGCAAAAGTTGCTGTTTGAATGAAAAAGAAAAACTTCCGAAATGCTTATATGAAATGCTTATGTGAAATCAATATGTTAGTAAATTTCTTTAAAAGCAAATGACGAATTATGAAATCACTGCTTAATTGATTTAACTTTACATAGTTTGTCCTGCAATATTTTATTCTGTTTACGTTTAGTATTCAGGAGTATCCAATTACAGGGACATTCTATGTTAAAAACTCTGTCAAGAATCGACCACAAGATTGTGAAAAATATGTATATAATATTATTTAAATTTTGATAAATGTTTTAAAAATAGTTCATGAAATATAGCTTTATACCCTTTAAGGGGTAAACTGAAAATGGTGAAAATATGGTTTGAATGATAACTAATAACTTTTAAAAAATGTTTGTATTTATTTTGTAAAGATAACCATTTAATCTATTAAAGTTCATTTCAACCATGGGCTTTTCTGTATAACAACAATGACAACAATCCAGAGATTATGAAACGACATGCACTTTCAAAATATAGCTATCTTGTTGCCAACTTACATTTCCATTTTTATCAAATGACTGACAGATTTGCTATAGTTATTACTGAATGTGTTATGTAATTATATAAAATCTATCTAGCATCGCCCTTCACATGGACCCCTTCAGATCATTGACAACAGTGCAAACGACTTTTATATAAAGGCCCGATTTGATTTCATTAAGATTGAAAACTGATAAAGTTGTACGATGTATTAAGTTGCCCAGTTTACTGTATTTAATCGAATTATGTCCATGTTCCTTTCTTGGATAGATCTGTATTAAACGTTGCATGACGACTGAAAATGAAGTAACAATGAAAAATGAAATTAAGTAAAGTATCGGCATGTTGCACAGCGAAACTTTCAGCGAAAAAGGTCCCGATGGTTTAACTTAATGCATGATTTTTACCCCAGTACAATTAAAAAAAATATATGAACATATCGACATAATGCCTGAATAAAATTGATATAAAAACAAACAGAATAATAACGCGGGGGCTAATTTGCATTCGGTTAGATTTAGCGGAGGTGGTAGTATTTGTTGTAGAAATTGCTGCGTCAGGATCAGTGTTCGTTGTAATAGTATCAGCAGTATTTGCTGTAGGTTTAAAAGTTCCCGTTGCTGAAGGAGAGTCTGCCGCTGTCGTTAAAGCGGCACAGGTTTTGCAACATTTCGAATAATCATTGGTGCAATGACTCTGAGTACAGTCAGTATATTCATCACCCCAAGGACAACCTGAAATAAACAATAGTCAAAAAGACATAATAGCTTGATTTAAGAAATAATATATCCCAAACTGTGATTTTATCGCTCAATAACATCACTGTTTGGAGTTCTGATGCGAGGAATTATATCACGAGGGCGTAGCCCGAGTGATATAATGATGCGCATCCGAACGACAAACAGTGATGTTATCCAGCGATAAAATCACCGATTTGGATATATTATTTCGATTCTAACACAACATAAACAAATAAATGCTGCCGTACCTGCTATTAAGCAAAATTTCGCCTGATTTGTTTCCGTACTTATTGTCAGCGCGTCGGATTTTATAGTGGTTACGTCACATGTATAATGATTACGTCACATGTCTAAATATAGAATGTCAAACAGTGACTCTATTGCATAATAACACACACTTTAGGTTCTTCTATGTTCAATAGGGAAAAATGCCGGTCGTGTTAGAATTACGTATAATATCTTTTTAAACTCTATAACAATTTTCAATAACACAAGTTTACATTTCACTCGTTAAGTTTATTTACAACTTGTCGCAAACGCGGCATTAGGATGTGGTAAGTAGAGGATATTTGCTGAGTGTAAGTTCAATACTGAATTTATCGAACAAGTTGAATAAATACGAGTTGAATCCGAGCATATATTTTGATGTGACGATTGTAAGATCTGCTTACATGTTTTTGCGTTTAGATTATGTATTGTAATCTTTTTTTTTCTTTTTTTTTTGTGAACAAGGAGCTTTGCTCAAGTCCGAAAAATATAGATAAATGGTAACCATGTGCAAATTTTTTGACGTGACGTCATTTTCATTACATAATCATAGAGTTAAGACGTGCACTAAAACGTTAGCGTTTTACTAATATAGGCATGTCAATGAAAACTGATTCTTTTAGTTTTTCATTTTGAACGATCTTTATTTTTGGTATATGATAAATAGAATATTAAATTCGTGTAAGTTCATTATTTAATCTATTGAACTCGTTGAATAAAATAATGTGAATAAAATTATATAATGCTTGCCAGAGGCTAGTTTAATATATAGAGGATATTCAAGTTTTTTTCTATAGAAACAGGAGTGTTATGAAAATAAAAATTTCCTCAATTTTAACTTAATGGTAAATGGAAAGTGTGCCAAATAATAATACAACGTGACGTCATTTACAACATCACGTCAGTAAGTTTGTTTTCGTCCCACAAGATGAAAAAAAATCCTTCATATAGGAAAAACTTGAATTATCTGTTTATAATATATATTGTGCTCTTCTGACATTACAATTTGAAAGACTTTCCCTTGAATTTTGTATTCTGACAGAATTGAGAAAAAAAAACGTGTTCCATCAAGACACCAATGAAAAAACGGAACATTACATTTCACAGTGAAAATATGGAAATGAAAGACACATTTTATTTCATCAATATTAGGAGGATACTTTTTCGTTTTAAATATGGAATTTATTTCATGCTTTCCAGTGTTTAATTGTAATATATCAAAGGTTAATTTTCTGATAAACCACTAATGAAATTTATAAAATATAATTTTCACTGTAGCCGGACTACATGTATATCTGAATGCAGATGAACAGAAAATCATAACTAAATGGAATAACAGGCAGAAATAAATGCCGTCATGCGTATTTTTTTTCATTTTAGGAAAAGAAAGTCGATATCATCATACATCATGTTAAAAAAGTGAAACAAAATTATAGAAATTTAACAGAACTATATTTCAAAATTGATGATGTGACGTCATGATGCGATGACGTCACTAAGGAAAAATGTGTGACGCTACGCGACAAAATCAGTAAAAAAACATCTTAAAATCACTTAAAATGCATGAAATAAAAAGAACATTTATTTGTTTTACATATTAGATTGAAATATATTTCATTCGTGAACACCAAATATTATATTTTCACTCGTGGCTACGCCACTCGTGAAAATATTGCATCTAGTAATAACTCAGTGAAATTATATTTCAATCTTACATGCAAAACAAACAAATATCCTCTATATATTTTCACGAAACATGATAAAATGCCACATATTTTCACGAGCCTTGTTTGAGTGAAATATGGAATATATTTTCACGAAACATGATTAAATGCCACATATTTTCACGAGCCATTTATCAAAGAAAAATGGTTACGCGCCCCCTTGCTTAATTGTACAGCGCGCAGTAATATAATTATTGTCTTGTATTGCAAGCGATATTAAGCGCTAAATTCTGACGTCACGTAAACAACTCTAAAAACGTCTGTACAGTGTTGATGACTGAATTCAAACAATATTGGTGTTCGGATTTATTTTCTTAGTTAGACTATTTTCTATCCTTCTAGATAGTTTTCAAAACGAAATTCAACAAAAGTTGTTTTGTATTAATCAGATTTTTCGAACAGTCCCTTAAAATAAATATGAGTTTTGACTCAGCCAACTTTCATATTTATATTTCATATTTATTTTTAAAAAGTATGAAATATATTTGAGTGATATAGCACCATATTTCATGAGTAAAATTAAATTCTCAATATTCTCAAGTACATGATAGAATTTTATACAACTCGTTCAATAAATTCAGTATTAAACTTACACTTTTTCAATTTCATGTTAACAATTACAATACGAAGAATGCTGTAAACACGTAACCGTAGTGAAACAAGAGGTAAACTCTCTGTTAATATCAATTTGAGTTAATCCGTTTCAGCGCTTAGGAAAGAATATGTTATCCTATTTTTTAGAAAATTTCAAACACTATTGTTGATAGAGGAACTTTGCAATAACTTTTATAAATACAAGTATCCTACTAATTACAGACATCTCAATATAGCTTAAAACAGTACGTTATAGAAAGGTAAAATGTAAATGCAAGTAAAATTTGTTTTACCTGGAATATCTAATCGTATATCTTGGCATGTTTTACAGCAAGTTTCAAAGTTAATTCGACACAGTTGTAATGTCATTCCTACACAAAATGACTGTTTATCTCCATAGTCACAATCTAAAAAGAAATAGAGGATATTGAATTAGTGTAGTTTGATACTAATTCTAACTCAACTCGTATTTTTCCCTATTGAACATATAAGAACCGAAAGTGTGTGTTATTATGCTATAAAGTCACTGTTTGACGTTCTATATTTGGATATGTGACGTAATCATTTTACACGTGACGTAACCACTAAAAATGCGACGCGCTGAAAAAAAGTACGGAAACAAATCAGGCGCAATTTTGCTTAATATCAGGTACAACAGCATTTATTTGTTTATGTCGTGTTAGAATCGAAATAATATATCCAAATCGGTGATCTTATCGCTTGATAACATCAATATTTGTCGTTCGGATGCGCATCATTATATCACTCGGGCTACGCCCTCGTGATATAATTCGTCCCATCCGAACTCAAAACAGTGATGTTATTGAGCGATAAAATCACTGTTTGTGATAAATAATTCCTGAAATATATTGAACGAGTGGTATAAAACCATATCATGCGAGCCTGTGGTGAGCAAAATATTTTTGTTCAACGAGTTTAATAAATCTAGTCTTGAATCTAGACGAATATAATATTCTATTTTTCACATATATAAAATAAGGTCAGTAAATTGTTAGAATGAGTAATTTTTAATCACTCGCCTATATTGCAACGATAACATTAGCGCGCCTTTAATAACGCTATGTTTCTATACAGCGCAAATGACGTCGCGTCAAAGTGTTATTACACTTAGTGTAATATCGTCTTTATTAAATAGAGGATTTTGTTTAGTTCAGAATCGGAATATATTTCACCGAGTGAGCACCAAAAGGTATATTTCATGAGTGGCGCAGCCACAAGTGAAATATGAACGAGGTGGAATATATTTCAATCTTACATTAAACTAAACAAATTGTCTTTTTATTTTATGCAGAGAAACGTTTAAAAAGACATTTTAACCTAGTACTGAATGAAAAGCGCGCCAAATAATAATACAACGTGATGTCATTTACGACGTCACGTCATTAAGTTGGTACCCAGTACTGTGCACGCTGGTATTTCACTGAAACAATGTAAGGGGCTTAAATTCAAAACAGTGAAATTATCAAAGTGGTAATTTCACTGTTTCAAACAGTGAAATTACCAGTTTTATATCACTGATATATTTCTATAAACCACCGAAAAGCATGTAATAAATGGTTTTAATACACTTGTTACTATATATAGTAACAAAATTGCCTATGATTTCAACTGATTATGAGTGTCACGTGACCTATTATGAGTTTGCGGCCCGGGGCCGAGAACTAGTTATCAGCCCGCAGAACATGTGCACGTGCACAAACTGAAACAATGACGTCATATTTTACGTCATCAAACAGTTAACTGTAAAAGTGAAAGTAGGTTGTCAGCACGAATCGATTTATTTTTATTATGAGAGCTTAAGCGTATTTAGTACAAACACATTTTTGTTACTTTTGAAATTTGAAGAAATTCTTTCCGAAAAAAATGAAAATAAAACTTGCTTCTTGATTCTACTGCTTTGAACACACAAACAGTAAACATCTCTGTACAGAACAGTAGAAGAGTAGACAAGAATTTCAAGGAAAGAACTTCAAAGTCTATTAAATTTTGTTTTGATTTTTTTAATGCTACTATTAGATCTACCAAGTGTATTAAAGACATTAATACACGTCAGCGTGGGGCCGGAAGGTGATAATCGGCCCTGAATGAATAATGACCCTCGGGCTAAAGCCCTCGGGTCCATTATTCATTTTGCGGGCCGATTATCACCTTCCGGCCCTCTCCTGCCGTGTATTAACCTCTTATTATCACATACGGTTAGCATAATATTATTTTATTCAACGAGTGCAATAAATTCAATAATGAACTTTCACGAATTTAATATTCTATTTATCACATACACTAAATAAAGACCGTTTAAATTGAATAAGTGTCATTTTTCATTGACGCGCTTATAGTATAACGCAAACATTTAGCGCGTCTTTACACTATGTTTGTAAAACGCTAATGACGTCACGTCAAAATATATGCACAGCCGTGTTATACCATATTTACGGAGTTGCAAAATCGGCACGGGTGTGTGATAAAATCAATCTTACATGCAATGTATTTATGGATTATCAGGACTAACAAAATGACGAAAGAAGTCCCTTAAAGTAAACATTTTAGTTTTGACTCCGGCCACTTTCATATTCATATTTCATACTGATTATTTACAATTTTGACTTATATAGCACCATGTTTCATGGGTAAAATTAAATAATATTGGTTGAAAAGAAAACATTATAAGAACTGAAAACATAAATAAAAATGCTTGTTTTTGTTGTTTGAAAAGGCTTTGTATACTATTTTACCGAAGGTGAAAACATAACAGCCGCATGTACAAGTAGTCCCTAACCAGCGATTATTGGCAGTTTAACACCGCTTTTTTTCTTCTTTGTCTATAGTGACAAAATCAGTGGAGTGTGACATGACTTTCACCATCGTACCATCGCGTCTTCACCATCGTTCCATCGCGGGTACAGAAGACATAAAAAATCCCTATTGTCCAAACGGAACACCGTAGATAAAAGAAATAAATGTCGCAAGTCACTTCTGGATTTACAACGAGCAAGTGACGTACATTTTATAAAACCCTTATTCAAATCGCACTCGTGGCCCAATTGCAAGTTATTTTGAGTAGAGCGTTATCAATTCGAAGGACAGTGACATTGTGAGCGAGAAATGCTTCTGTATTCATATTATACACATATACTGGAGGTGGGTTTTCAAACATATGAAAGGAATTTCACGAAAAGAAGCACACGTGATATTTTTTAAACATTCCTAGTATGTTCAACTGTTTAAACTATAACTGCAGTGTGTTTAAACAGCAAGTCCCCAATTTCATATTTATTTTTAATTCAATCACTCCACGTGATTTTGTCACAATAGACAAAGAAGGAAAATCAAAGCACATAAGGCGCTGAATTTGTTTGGGTCTCAAAATATCAGAAAGGTGAAGGTTGTGAGATTATAAAACCATTTGTTTTTGTATAGTGCCATCAATGCTTTCCAGCTTTTTAATTGTAGTAGATTGGCTATAAGACTTTTTGCAACACTGATATTCAATCCAATGTTTATTAAGTCTTAAACAATTTGAAAAAAAAAAGAAGTAAGTTGCCTTAACTGGAATTTGAACTCCAGACCTCCCGCTTCCTAAGAAGTCGCACAAACACCCCGGCCACAGTGAATTTAAATGTAAATGGCCTGAAGAAAAGCATATTATTCTAAATTAGGGTTTGTAACGACGCTATCTGTTGTTTAACACTTGTGTACATAATCATTGCGCTTACTATAAGCATGTATATCTATAAAGAATAAAACAATATTAGAAATCTTCGACCGTTCGGGAATTATTTTGCTTGAAAATTAATGCGCCTGTCATGTGACCATATTTACGCAGTGATCTCCCCTGAATTTGTCGGCCTTAGTGTTACATATAAAGGGAAGTAACCGCTTCAAAAAGCGGACGATTTTCGGCATTTGCAATTAACAGCATTAGAGTCTGAAATTTCACTACCATTATTTGATTGGTCTGACGACCCAATCAAATAAAAACTGGTGTTAAACTGCCAATAAACACTGGTTAGGGACTACTTGTATATGCGGCTGTTATGTTTTCTCCCTCGATTTTAGTTTACAAAGCATTTTAAAGCAACAATAAAAAACATATTTATTTATTTTTTTCAGTTCATACTGTTTTCTTTTCATACAATACCGAAATCATATCTCACATAAACAAACGCCACATATTAGACCCATATCAATTAATAAATATTTTGACAAAACGGCGCCAATCCGTAAGCAGCGTAATGACATCATCCTAGTAAGTAAACAACTCATTCATAATCAAGCTGACGTTATTTCATACATGCAAGAATGATAAACGGGGCACTGATGTAAACACAATACGACGTAAGTTTATATTGATGAAAACTTGATAAAATAACGTTTTTTTTCTAATTCTTTCTTTTGTTTGATAGTTTCTATATCTTCGCAACAGTAGGGTGCAAAAATAGAACAGCGTTATACGAAAATCGGCAACGGAAGTTGTTTCCGCTTGAAAAATAACATTAGTGATTTTCCTTATTTTATCGTGTTAGAATCGAAATAACATCGGCCTGAGAAGTGAATATCGGCTATTTAAAACAGGGTTTGTCGTTTTGAGGCGACAAAATTAACCGCTCAGGCCTACGGCCTTCGTGGTCAATTCATACGCATCAAAACTTTAAACCGGTGTTTAAAAGCTGCTATACACCTCTAAGGCCGATGTTATTTCCTAAATGAACATTTTGAGTATTGTGAAGTGAACAATGAAAGTAAGTTACACGTTACATACGGCGGTTTCAGACCCCAACATTTTACCAAAATAAGTTCCAAATATGCAAAAATAGTTCCTACAGCGTAATGACTCAGTGAAAATATTGTGATAAATACTGTAAAAGTAGTCATTAATCGCACATATGTATATTATAAATACTTCAATCTTGCACCTTTTTACCTTTCTTAAAATCTTATTACTTTATTCTCAAATTTAATTTTTTTTAAATAATTTTACTCATCAAAAGGATCGCAGCGCTAACAAACAGCTGAAAGTGAAAACAAAAGAGCACAAGGCATAAGAAAACTGACCGATAATGGATAATGTCACATTCAGTTTTTGTGTGTGTGTGTGTGTTTTTTTTTTCAATCTGGGTATGCACTGTAGGGGATATTGAATAAGTGTCAGATTAATACTGAATTAATTGAAAGAGTAGAATAAAAAATATTTAGAGAATATTGAATGTGTGTAAGTTCAATACTGAATTTTGTGAGCTTCTGGCGAATAAATTCAGTAATGAACTTACACGAATTTAATTGATGCGAAAAAATTAACCACTCAGGTCTACGGCCTTCGTGGTCAATTTCTACGCATCCAAACTCCAAACCGGTGTTAAAAAGCCAATATACAACTCTCAGGTCGATG